ACATTCCATTATAGATTCAGTGTATTAGAGTAACCCATTAAATTAACATTCTTTGATTGGTATCACATTGCTTAACAAATCTATTTAGAGAATGCTATGTTGTTTATCCATTATAATCACTAGTTATTTATTCACTGGATTGAATAGTATGTTAATCAATCTAGCTACTAGTTGTTTGAAAATTTGGGGTGTTAAAAGTATTCACAGACAAACTGAATTGTTTTTTAGCATATTTTGTATATGTTGTGTATTTTATACAGTGTGGCCCATCGAAAACGTTCCGCAAGGCATAACGGCCAGGGTAATTTTTTTTTTCAGAAAATCCAAAAACACGTCAATTTTGTTTGTGAGGGGGACAACTTTTGCCCCAAATGATTGCAAAATCTTCAACCCTCTAAGCGGGGGTGTCATCCCCCAACTTGTTTCAAATGGGAAAGGCGGTCAAGTGGCACCGCAATGAAAAGAGCTTTCTATTCTCTATATTTCCCCGCTTCGTTTTTGAAAATCGGTCGAGTCATTGAGAAAATATGAAGGATTGAAATTTGAAAAGTTTATTTAAACATTTATCAGAGTAAATGATAAGGATTAATTCCTTCGACCAATTTGCTGTTTTTTCTTATTATTTCTAGATATTTACGAATTTTTTCACTTGCCACAAGGTTGAAAAAGATCAGGTGCGTAGTTGCTAGATAGCTGTTCTGAAGACTTTGCGTTGAAGTTCTTCTCAATATCGTTAAACTTTTTAACAATTATGGTGTACTCACTTGCAGAAAAAGTGGATATAATCGAACTTTATTTTGAAAAATAATGAATGTGGCAATCGGTTTGCGCAGATATTCAATGAACGCCACGGTATTCGTATTGGGCCAAGTTGCCATGGATAGTACGCTGAGTACAAGAAAATTAGCCAATGAGACCGCGACCGACGTGAATCGTACAAGTGTCCAAACGATATTAAAAAAACACAAGTTCCACCCGTACAAAATTCAGTTGGTACAAGAACTCAACGAAGACGATTTTGATCGTCGCGGGCTGGTATTTTTGGAAATTCTATTGTGGGTCAGTTTAACGATATTGAGACTCGCACCTAATCGATCAACCTTGTGGCAAGTGAAAAATGTGTAAACATCTAGAAATAATAAGAAAAAACAGCAAATTGGTCGAAGGAATTTATCCTTTATCATTTACTCGATAAATGTTTAAATAAACTTTTCAAATTTCCATCCTTCATATTTTCTCAATGACTGACCCGATTTTCAAAAACGAAGCGGGGAAATATAGAGAATAGAAAAGCTTTTCATTGCGGTGCCACTTGACCCCCCTTCCCATTTGAAAAGTTGGGGGATGACTTCCCCCGAGGGGTTGAAGATTTTGCAATCATTTTTGGGGCAAAAGTTGTCCCCCTCACAAACAAAATTGACGTGTATGTGGATTTTTTGAAAAAAAAAATATCCTGGCCGTTATGTCTTGCGGAACGTTTTCGATGGGCCTCCCTGTATAGTTGGTTTCCATTCTTTTTACATAATGTCAATGTTTCTCAACAGTTTTTCTGGTAAGGTTTCAATATTAATAATCTTTATAGTTGAGGGTTTTGAAACCTTTGATGTTACAATAGCATAATGAGCCACTTATTTAACACAAGCCACCAAAACACTTTACTTGAACACTGGATGCACATTTCGCTAACCATGTTAATGATCAGTAGATGATAAAGATCTGTCGATGATGCAGTTTTAATCATATTCTAATGAGGCTAACATGGTAAGCGAAACGTGCGTGCAGTGTTAAATGTAAAGTGTTGTGGGTGTATTGTGGTGAATTAGTGTTTTATTTTTCTGTTAATAAATTAATTAGCTTTTATTTTTCTTTAGAAGATTAGCTAAAGGAGAAACATCACCAAGAGCATCGTAGCCAAGTGATTATATACAATAATAATTTGGGAAAATGATAAAATATAAATAAATAATATAAATATGCAGTAAGCAAGTATCCAAAAATTGTAAATCTGCAAATGAAAAATGACTAAATGAAATTTGAAATATCATTTCTTCCGGAAAAAATTGTAGAAAGGTAACAGTCAAAATTATTGCAAAGATAATAAAATAATATCAAATGCAACTAACATTACATTTGATCTAGTATAGTATTGTCAACCTTTATTGTGACGACCTCTGTATACTTAATTTAGACAAAAAAGATGTACACTCATTTGGATTTTCCATTTTCTTTTCAAATCAAATTTCCTTCAAGTATGTGAGTAACAGTATTCGTTAATAATAATTTACAAAAGAATGTTTTAAGACAACATTAAACTACAGAAGAAAATTTAGAAGTGACCTAAAATTTTAATGACCTAATCATAGACAAACATCATCTTATATCCGTATTGTGTATTATATATATTTTTTATGATCGTACTTCGCATTTTACCAAAGTAGTGTTCAATATAATAACTTTTGATACATTACAATAAAAAAGTCCCTTTTTTATAGATGGCTGTTGATTGAACATATTCAACAAGATGTTTCTGCGTTAATAATAATCACAAGGGATGTTTCAATATTGATCTTGTAGTGATTTCTCTCAATACTTGTATTATTTAACTATACAGGGTTGTTCACCACATACGACACGGAGTATTGTAGCTAAACGATGAGATTTTTACAAATTGTAAGTTTGGGGTTCGTTGAAGGACTATTAGAGCTACAATTTAAAAATATTTTTACAAGATACAGAGTGTCCCAAATAAATAAATAATATCAAAGTTGTATTTTTTTAAATGGAACACCCTGTATATTATTACATTTTTAGTTTCTACGATTAAAATAAAGGTAAATTTGATTTGAGGTTTATTATACTTAAACCTTACCGTTTTTGAAATATTTTCAATTTTGTGAAATTGCAGTAAAATTTTTAAAGCTTCATTTCTCCAAGGGTATCAATGTTTTTAATACTAATTATTTAATGAAGTTTATTTATTGATCAGTTATTGTGTTGCAATAATAAAAATAATACTATTTTATACAGAGTGTCTAAAAATTTATTTTAAATAATTATTAGCTTCAAACGGCAATAACATCTTTAATTTAAATAGAATGCCCTGTATATTTTAGGAGAATCAGATGCACAATTAAATTGTCTATCAAATTGTATTATACCATTTTTTACCTATCCCTTCAAGTTTTCGTAGAGAATGCATTTTCTTATAATTTAGACCTCATTTATCAATATATCCATGGAATATTGACATTTTAGATTGTTTTTAAAGCAACAAATGTACAAAATGTACAGACTAGTAATATTATCGTTTTTAGCAAAACGATAATATTACTAGGCCATTTGTATGCAAAAAGAAAACTATTTAAATCTTTATAAAAGAGTATACCATTAATTAAATATAACACCATTATTTCCGCCCATATACTAATTAATTACATACTTAATTGTGTTCGTTATTAAATTATTATAAATAAATGTGGATTTGAGTCAGAAATCAATATAATAATAAGTTATCAAATTAAAGTCTCTGTTGTTATAAATAAGCATTTATTAAAAAATGAAATATCATTTTTAAGGTGTTACTTTTTATCACACTGTCTAATGCCCATACAAAATTCAGTTTTTTAGTATTTGGAGCAATTATTATTAATCAACGCAGTCAGTTAATGTAGTTTGAATACTGGAATCATATTAATTGATCCTCTTTAACAAATATTTAAACTGTTTGTTTTTATTTTTTAATGAAATAAACGAATTATATCGACAATATTAGTATCTGTACTCTTTAAAAATTTGGCACATCTTTAAAAATAATCTAAAATGTCAATAGTCCATGGGTATATTGATAAATAAGTTCTAAATTACAAGAAAATGCATTTTCTACGGAAACTTAAAGAGATAGGTAAAAAATGGTATAATATAATTTGATAGACAATTAAATTGTGCATCTGATTCTCGTAAAATATACAGGGTGTTCCATTTAAATTAAACAAGTTATTGCCGTTTGAAGCTAATAATTATTTAAAATAAATTTTTAGACACTCTGTATAAGGTAATATTATTTTTTTATTGCAACACAATAATCGATCAATAAATAAACTTCAGTAAATATTTAGTATACTAATATATAACTTTGATACCCTTGGAGAAATGAATGCTTTAAAATTTTTACTGCAATTTCACAAAATTGAAAATATTTCAAAAAACGGTAAGGTTTAAGTGTGATAAACCTTAATCAAATTTACTTTTATTTTAATCGTAGAAACTAAAAATCTAATAATATACAGGGTGTTCCATTTAAAAAAATACAACTTTGATATTTTTTACTTATTTGGGACACTCTGTATCTTGTAAAATTATTTTTAAATTGTACCTCTAATAGTCCTTCATCGAACCCAAAACTTACAATTTGTAAAAATCTCATCGTTTAGCTACAATACTCCGTGTCGTATGTGGTGAACAACCCTGTATAGAAATGTTTCAATGTTTCAAAACAATGTGTTCTACCAGCCATGACCTATGCATGTGAAACCTGGACAGTTAAAACATACATAAGGCATCATAAGGAAACTGCAAGTCGCACAAAGCTCAATGGGGAGAAATATGCTGGGAATAACCAAGAGAGACCGTAAAAGAATAGAGTGGATACGACAAAAGACCCAGGTAATAGATGTCATCCACAGAATCAAATCCCCCAAGTGGTAATGTGCAGGACACCTGGCAAGGAGGATGAACAACAGATAGACAACAAAAATTACAGCATGGGACCCACGAGGAATTAAAAAACCTAGAAAAGGACAGAACATGATAACTTGGACCCGCATAGCCAGCAATAGGCAACCAATGGGCCCAACTACAAAGAGAGTATCTAAATATGTGAAGGAGGCTACCCTATAATTGAAAATGGTTGAATAAGCTGAGGATGATGATGATGACTGATTTCTGTTTTATAATTTAAAAAATTAAACTTCTTTTCGGGAAGTCAATAAGAAGATTACTAAAATAAATAAAACATATATTTAATATAAATATAGTTTCACTTAATAGAATTCACTAGTATAATATATACACATACACGAATATGAAAATAAATACAAACCTACAAATATAAAAATGCGTTTAAATTTTAAATACAATTACTTATATAAATACTACACTAATTTTTTTTATGTATAAAAATTACATATATCAAAATATTATTATTTCTAGTATTAATACATCATCTTAGTATATAGCTTGTCTAATCAGATCACATTAAAAAGAACGTTTAATTTTAAAAGTAATTGATCTTAAATAAATATCAAGTCCTATCTTAAAAACTGTCAGGCAAAATACATCAGAAACAATAATATTACAACTAATAAAACCATTTTGTACTTTTGTCAGCGTAATTCAGGATTTGTCTAAATTTTATTCAGTCGCTCCAGGAGCCTCGGGGTGTTCCCGTACTGTCTAAATTACTCGACGAGCTTCCTATACTCTCGCAAGCTTCCATAAATAAGTCTGGGTTCACCATTTCCATAACTCTCCAAGCTAATGTTCTGCCACCTGAAACCAAAGAAATGATCAAGTTAGTTTTCATAAGAAGTATGGATTTGTGTGAAGTATGCATTGATGAATTGATAAAAAATATATTTTGTTTAACAAGGCAAGGATTATCGGAATGTTATCTTGGTCCAGAGCCACTGGGAGAGATCCAGAACTGGGAATATCCAAATGTATAAAGCTTCATTCGGAACCTCGCAATTACTGGAATAAATTAGCGGTTTTAATTACACTTTATACTTTTTAGTTCACTATCATTCACAATGTTTAAAAAACATAATTAATAATTAATAGAATATCCTAGTAACAGCTTGCCTTAGTCAGTTTTATCCATAGAGAAAGCTCAATACTCAGCTTATAAAACAATCAACTTTTGATTTCTAACCACTAATTTCTCTTGTTCGACGATAATCAAACGCAGAAATGACATTCCTCGCAACTTTTTAAGTATAATTAGGGGAAAAGTTAGATGTTTGTTAACTTTTTCCACTAATTGAATATTATTACCACTAATTTTGACGTTGTAAATGCTTAAATTGATATTAAAGGAACAAACTTCTACACTAATTGAAACCATTGATTTATTCTACTAATTTCGAGGTTCTGAATGAAGCTTAAGCATTCAGAACGTCAGAATTAGTAGTAGACATTTTCAATTAGTAGAAAAAGCTATCAAACTTTTACCTTTTCCTCTAATTATACTTCAGAATTTGCGAGAAATGTCATTTTCTCCTTTGATTATCTTCCGTCAAGAAAAATTGTGGTTAGAAATCAAAAGTTGATTAAAAGCTAAAATATTAGGCTTTCTCTATTGATAGAACTGACTAATGCAAGCTGTGGTTAGGATATTCTATTAATTTTAATTGTGTTTCTTTACATTGTGAATGATCGTAAACTAAAAAGTATAAAGTGTAATTCAAATTGAAACCACTAATTTATTCCACTAATTGCGAGGTTGTAGAACGAAGAATGAGGCTTAACTCGTAGTAGCTAAAACTCTGGATCAGGGAAAAGCAGAATGTCCACTGGACAAATAGACAGGAGCATAGGTATAGCAAGGCCTTTATTTAAGGACCTAACTCTAAAACTACAAAAGAACTTCTAATGCTCTGCAGTGAAGACGTAAGAATGCCGGCTTACCAAGGTATAGAAGGAATTGAGAAAGCAAATAAATGATCTAGCTAGAAAAGGAGCGAACACTCCACTAACTATGCTTTCCAAGTAGAAACCAACTTAAAGCGGGACTCACGAACCTGGAAGGAACCATTTGTAACCTGGAATGGGAATCCTCCAACGGTCTAAGACACTCGAAGGAATTTCTCAGAACTAACGACCGAAACCAAGAAACAAAGATTCAAAGATTGTCTTTGATTTAAGTAAGAACAATCTTCGAATTGTCACAGGGATTTTAACAGGACACTGTCTCCTCAACGAAGACCTCAGTAGAGGGGAGAATGGGAAAACAGCAGAACACCTCATAACAATGCGCCTAGACGACAACTATTCGCGCCATAAACTTTGGTACGACTGATATCAGAGATGGAGAACTCTGTGTTTCCTGTAGATTGCAATAAATATCTTAAAACAGGCGCATAATATGTCATTGCGAGGTTCTGGGGTGCAACTTTGTTCAAGATAGCAACCGATCATTTAGAAGCAATGTCGAATGCGACTTATAGCATGATCGGTACTATGTTCATTGCAAAACTATTATTGCTTTATCAAATCGGGTATTCTCGGCAAATACTGCAAAATATGGTATCACTATCACACTCTTGCACACGTGTGCGACACGGTCTAGGCAGTCGCCTCGCCACAAAGCAAGAAATCAGAATATCGCTACGAATCGATGTTGCTACTGAACATAGTGCCTCAAGCTACAAAATTACTTTGCTGTCGCTTTGAAACATGAACAAAGTTGCACCCCTGGATCGAAAACAACCGGTTAGTACTAGTTTTAGGCTAATTTAGTTACGAAATAACCAGATTCTTTGACGATAAATACTTTCTGATTAATCGTGTGGATATTTTTAATTCTACTTAAAGAATTTCAAGTACTTCAGAATTTTAAGTAAAGATTTGCAATATTTGAAGTACTTATTGTGTAAATTATTCAAAATTCAAATATAAATAACTTACATTAAGTATGTATTTCAAATTTTAAACATAAACACCTAAGAATTTAAGTAGGAATTTGAATTAGGGTAATTCAAAAAGGGTCTGAACAAATTTTCAATTATTTTTTCTCGAGGACTGTAACTCTGATGACAGGATTTTATTATTTGAAGTCAGATGTCAAAGCAAAATTATTTATGTAAAAAATCTAGTTCGTGCGAGGTTAACAGAGAATAACAAAAGACAATTACTGGCGGTAGAAATGGACGCGATAAGGAGATCAGCGCGAACATCAAGGCTGGATAGAGTAAGAAACGAGACAATCGTGGACAAAATGGGTAGACGAAAAACTATAGTAGAGGAACTAGAGAGTGCCCAACTGAAGTGGTATGAACATGTGAGAAGGATGGACAACACGCGACTGCCTCAGAAGCTACTAAACTGGCTTCTACAAAAGAGAAGAAAACGGGGAAGACCAAGGACAAACTGGATGGAGAGTGTCAAGAAGGCGATGAGCTCAAGGGATCTGCGTGACGGAGACTGGAATGAACGAAATCAATGGCGACTAGGTATCGCGCAACATCAAAGGAAAAAAAGTGATTCTTATATATGAAGTAACCTACCTATGTGAACGTTCCCCTTTATTTGTTCAGAGTCTTCACAGTAATGCAATGCAGCTTTCCTAAGGTTTTCACATCTGCATTGATCGGCCAGTAAAAGGATGTTGGCCACGTTGCTTGGAGTTAAACTTTCAATGAGATGACGTTCACAGAGACCCTTCAATCCTGTAAGTTTATAAATAAATATTTTAAATTTAATAAAAGAAAATTAGGTATTTTATTACCTTGTAAAGTGTAAATTGTACTAATTGGCAATAATTTGGCAGCATACTTGTCCGCACAGTCAACTTTGTCAGTGTAGATGTACCGGATAAGTTCACACACAACTCCGTAAGAGTATTCAGGTAAGGCTAATGTGTACTTCATATTCTGCAAAATAATAACATTATTCATACTTATAAAATAAAACTAAGCCTTATTCATTAACAGGATGATTTTAACTAGGCAAATTTGACGTAATAGAAAAATTACGTTAATTTTTTTAGTTTTGGTTAAAACATGGTCAGATAAAGTTAAATAATCTCAGTGTATCTCTACATCATCTAATCTAGATTGTATTTAGAATAGTTCCCAAAAGATAATTAATATAAATAATCCTTATATTCCTTAAACCTTTATATCCTTCCTAAACTCTGTAAAACCGTCTTAGCTACTGACATTTGTCAAAGCCCTCAGACTGTATGATGAGTTATAACCAACAAAAAGAGACAAAATAGACATATAAGGTCGCAGTTATAACTTACTATCTAAAACATTTTATATATAAATTTTGCAGTTAGAATTACTTCTTTCATGGCTTAGTTTCTTTAAGAAAAAAATGTACCTAAGGTCTTCAAAGTTAGAAACTACTTCTGATATAAATAAAATATATTTATTTTTATTTTCAAAGAGCAAAATTATTACTAGTTGCTAGGCAAAAAATCAGAAGCTAAAACTTGAAACTCATTCCTCATTAGGATTATGATTATTTCCGTTATCTGTTAGGTGTCCGTGAAAACTTATCTATCAAACTTTGATATGAATACACAGAGTATTTACAAAGTATTGGATATTTATTAAACTACTAAATTTATTTTTAACAAAAAATATAAAAAATACAAATGTTTAAACTGTGAGTTTAATAAAATAAGTTGCTATGTAATTTTATTTTAATTAATTATGAGAAAAAGGCATTAGAGAAATTCAAATTTTAAAGAATAATAGCTACTGATTTACTACCATTCAATAGAATGATTAAGGAAGGTGTCAAACAATATAAAATTTTTAAATTTGTACGATAAAAACAGAACCTACGTTATTGTATCAATTTGAAATAGTTTAGTTAATTTGAGTTAGCTTTGTTTGACATTGCTCTTGTTAAATTTGATTTTTCGCGAGTTTGGTTTGCTTTTATATGTTATTTTATTCCTTATTTACTTTATAAGCGGTTTTATGTAAAGTGACTAAATTTCGACAACTTGAATTACAGTGAGATTATATGAACGTCTGATCTTTAATGATTAAAAACATGAATAAAAATCGAACAATTTTTTAATAGTGAAAGGATTATAATGGGAGTTTTTCAAAAATGGCGCACCCTTATAATTTTTTGATTTTTTCAGATACAAAACGAGATTTGGTATGTTAGTATATATGATATAAATCGGGACTGATTGACGTATTCAATATATAGTTTAGGTAACTTGAACGTATCTCACATGAAGTGACTTTGATTTTTTAATGGTACCCTCGGTATTTTCTTACTTTATTTGATAGAAAATCATAATATTGATATTTTCAATAAAAAAAAAAGTATTTTAAATCTCAATCTAGAGTGCCATGACTGTGTTAAAACCACTAATTTTTAATCAATGAGCCTAGGAAAAATAGATTTGATCAGCTAATATTGTTCGTGTCTTTTCCTGGCCGTCTAAAATATTCTCAAAATTTTTAATTATAATTCCCAATTTTTTCAAATGGAACAAGGGTGGCTCATTAGCATATTTGGAAAAGCATTTTTTTACGAATAATTTGGTACCACATACTTGGTATTTCGAGTTAAATTGTCGTAACAATAATTTATTGTCGTGGCACTCTAGATTGAATTTTAAAATACAATTTTTTAACACAAAATGTCAAAAGTTGACATAATATATACTTTGTGAGTCATAAGTGCAAATATTTTCAGGGGTAGTATATTTTGACCCCAGAAAGACAATTATGAGTTTCTTTGAGTGAAAAAAAAATTTTGAAAATTTTAAATTTTTGGAAAAAAAATTTTGAATTTTTTTTAGTTTTTAGTTAAAAAACATAATTTGTTGATAATATGGCAACATAGGTAGTAGACTAAATTTACTACAAAAAGAAAATCCAGAAAAGATCAAGTGGTTCTCAAAATTTTAGCAAAAATTCACTTTTTTGGGAAATTTTCAAAATAAAATATCTCGGTTATTTTGGATTTATTTGAAAAACGGTAAAGAGAAAATATGTTTCATTAATCGAGATCTACCAACCCCGAAAATATTTGCACTAATTTAAGACTTACCCTGTATAAATCTATACAGAATATAATTTTTATCAAATAAAGTAAAAAAACACGGAAGGTGTTATTTAAAAATGAGAAGTTGCAGTTCGTTGGAAAACCAAACCAAACCAATTCGAAACTAATTGATATATATTAATCCAGATTTAGGTCACATTTTCTATCTGAAAAAATAAAAATTGAAAAACACCCGGTATATGACATATATTTATAAGTTGACAGTGATTATTCTTTAGCCTTATATAATAATTTTTTTTAGTTGTTTCTTGGGTGTTGTGGCTATGGTTGCAGTAAAAAAGTAAAACAATAATTTTTCAACGTTTCGCATTTAATGTACTATGCTTCTTCAAGATTTTTTTTTTACTTTCGTCTTTTTTTGGACTTTCCTATGTCTTATTTTTTCACAATAAGGGGCCGTCCTCTGCCGGAAACACTGCGACCTGTGAGGCCTATTGTGTTTGTCCCCTTTCTATATCTGCACCCATTCTCCTATTCCTGTACTAACGTATGCAGGTCCTTGATAGGATGGGAGCATAGTTCCTCCGCACGGTGGAGTATTAGCATGAAAAAGGTGATCGAAATTCGAAAAAGCAAATGTGTTTAAGATTTCCCGCAAAAAGATAAATGATAAGTTAAATCATGTCTGTCATGAATGGCGTTGCTATGGGTTTGTTTAGTTGCATTCATTTGTTTCAACGAAACGTCAAAGTTGTTACTTCACAGAGGTAAGAGGTAAATGTCTAAATTTTATGTTTAAAATTATAAATTATTGTTGTTCTTGTGCTCCTTTTACGTCTATATTATTGTTTTGATTGAAAATGGCTCAGCAAGCTGCAGGTATGTATTCTACAAAAACATATTATTTATTTTGATATTCTCTATACTAACGATTTTTTTGCAACAAAAAGTTAGGCGTTCAGAAAATTTGATTAAATTTGTGACATTTTTATTATACTTAGAGATTTAGTTGCGCATTTCGAAGAATTCAGCATATTGTCTATATACGTTTTACTTAGTAAACATTGGGCTTTCATACAGTAAAATAAAATACTGCGACTTTTTGCGACTTTGCTGATAAAATGAGAAAAACATTCTTCATTTCCTCTAATTTGCAAATCAGTGATATACTAATGCGAGGTGTAAACCGCGATGGCATTGTTGTGTACAAGGCGATCGCATTAGTGCCATTAGCAGTATAGCACAATTTGGCATTAGTAGCGGCATTAGTGATATGGGAATTGTTCGCGGATCAGTCGTAGCAATAGTAGTATTAGTTGCGATATTACTACTGGCATTAGTGGCATTGACCGTGGATACACTGGAACAGTGATTTTTCTTTCTTTTTATAGAATCGACGAATTATCCTTTATTTTGTTCATATTATTTCCTGTTTAATTGAAAATAGCAATAATTTATATAAGGTCTATCAACTATCGGTGTCAAATACCCCACTGTGCTCCGGTTCTAGCCTAGCTTTCCCAAATAAAAAGTGTCGCTTGCGATCCAGAGCCTCGCAGTGACATATTATGTGCTTCACTGTTTCAGGATCTTTATCGCAGAGTGTGCAGCGAAGACTTCTTTGATACAGGTTGAGCTTGTTCAGGTAACACTTGACAGCCTATGTTCATATGTCTTGGAGTAGTGTTTCTTATCGTTTCTTTACTGAGAATGTAATTCTCAGTAACAAAACTAAGAAACACATTCAGAAATAGAATTACATTCTCAGTAAAGAAATGATAAGAAACACTACTCCAAGACATAGGAAAGACCAAAAAAATCTTGAAGAAGCATAAAAAAAGTACATTAAATTGCGAAACGTTGAAAAATTATTGTTTTACTTTTTTACTGCAACCATAGCCACAACACCCAAGAAACAACTAAAAAAATTATATTTATAAGTGCATATAAAAATAGAAAGTTCATATATTTTACACATACATTGTTCACAATGTTAGATTAAGTAATGACACTTACTTTGTTATTTTCATCGCTACTTTCGTCCAATCTCTTGGCAAGCTTCTCGCTCCTAGTCCTCACTATCCAACTGTGCACCCTGATCGGATTCTGTCTATTCTCTTTATTCTCCGAATCGCAGTAGCACTCTACCACGGTATCTTTGTTCTCTTCTTCGCACGTCATCAGCCTCGCCATATCCTGCGACAAACTGTGGACCTCTTCGTCGCTCTGAATAATCTGAATCTTGACCATAATCTTAATGTCCTTATCTAGTCGGGAAGAAAGAACTAAAAACAAGTTTCAAGGAACCAAAATGGCGCTTACTGCTATCGATGTGCCTGTCCAAGATGCCTAAGCTCTTGTAACCGACAGAGAGGAGTTCTTTGGTGTTCTGGAGGTTGAGCACCACGCTGGAGATGGGACAACACTCCCAGTGTTTGATGGTGGCGTCCCAAACTCCGAACTGGAACCGGACCCTCGCTTGACCGGTTTCCTCGGTCTCGCATCCGGTCAGGTTCAGGCAAACCACCAGGGGTTGGTTACCTTTTTTGCCGTTGGCACCTGAAATTGACAAAGGTTAATACATACTCCAAAAGAACAAGTCGTTTTAAACTAAAAAGAATGAATGTTCTAGATCAAAAAATAAATAAAAATAAAGCATATTAAAAGTGGGACAAAACCAAATGCTAATAAATCCATGAACTAAACTTTAAACCAGGGTTGGAAATGATGTTTTTTTTTATTTAAATCAGATTTTTTTTATTTTAATTCAAAACAAGATTTAAATCGAATTTCCAAATGACTAGGACCTATTTCCAATTAAAGTCCTATCCTAAATGGCTAAATCTTTATAACTCTGACCGATACTGATAACATTAACAATTCTACGGCGCGTTGCCATTTTTCCACATCGGTAACCAATATATTCCGCAAAAAGTCGCTCGCTTCAGATCAAAAGTATTTTTTTTTCAAACATCTCAAAAATATTAACTTTTGTCATTTTAACGCGTAGGCATAAAAGTAAAGCATTGTTACGCCTAAGCACAAAAAGTACAAAAATATATTATTAAACTGATATTAAGTGTCAAATTCAACGAGTGTACAAATTTTTGCTCGATTACTGTTCATATTATTTGCAAGGTTTGAAATTGATTAAAAAAATATTTGTAATGTTTTAAAAGAAATAGTATGTTCTATTTGGAGTAAAAATGTAGTTTTTGTGCCTCCCTGTAATGTCGGAATAGCTTTACGATGATCCTTCAAAGGTTAGGTTAGAGCATCGTCAAAATAAGTATAATATTTACTCCTAATAAAACAATACACTATTGTTCGGAAATAGTCTTATGTCGAGAATGAAATTAGTAGGTATGTATTATCTAATGTCAAAGTGTAAAGTACTTACTGCAGATCAAAATGTCGGTAGAAATTTGGAAACATACAACCGATTCAAAAAAATATAAAACAACACATTTTCTGACAACGATTATAGATTCTCGGGAATGAAGATATAGTCTCTATATCAGAAGAACCTAGTTCTGCACTAGACTTTGCGAATGATATGTATTTGAACAGCGAATTTTTGTCACTTATAGATAAATTTTAAAATAAATCCCTGCGTTTAGCGGTCTAATGGATTCACACGAAATTACTTCAAAAATCGGTCAAACATTTAAATTGATGAATAGATACTTTTATATAGTTGTATAACATAGGTATACAATTATTTTTCGATTTATTATCTGTTATATCTGTTATAGAAATATTTTTTCTAGTTTTCTAGGACACATTTTTATAACTTTTACAGTTATTTTTTGGTTTATTATAAAGTTTGAATAAAACTATTTTTTTTTTATTTAAATCACATGATTAAAATTTTAAAAAAATCACTTGATTTAAATCACGATTTAAATCATGATTTAAATCATGCCAACCCTGCTTTACACCATTAGAAAATTCTGATAATTTTATACCTTCGACATTATCAGAATCTTTCCTGAGTATCAAATTTATTTAGAGATTATAAAGAGTGATAAGCTTTTATTTTATATACCTAAATTATTGTGACAATTTCCTGGTTTAACATCGCATACTGATATTTCCTTGAATGAACGCCAAAAATAAAAATTTCCGAGAAAATGAAATACGAAACTTCCCGGATATGCAACTCTCAATGTCAATACAATAAATGTTTATTTTAATAAAGACCTTATACAAAAGTGTTATGAATAAACAAGCAGTACGAATACAAATTTTAAAGTTGAAATTAAAATTTTAGTCATTAAAAACCACGTCAAAGTAGTAAAAACTGAAAAATGCAAATATAATAATATAGTTTTAAAACCATGAAGAAGAATTAATAGAAATACTGTAATGGGGGATTTACTCTATGAAACGTGAATTCTTAAAATTTCTATGTCAATTAACTAAAATTAGTACTTGCTATATCATTTAACACTATAATGTAATAAGGATATTTTATTTATTTGTTTTTTAACAACTCTGCACTAATTTGTTTTAACATTTTCGTAATTTTGCAGAACACTTTTCTTGTTCTTATTTTAACAATTAATATGTATTGTTTACAATTTAATACAGTTACAGAAAATAAAATGTTGAAAGTATGAGAAAACTATAAAAAAGCTTCTTGAATCAAGATGGAGCCACAAAAAAATTGGAAAAAAGACTGCAAATTGCTTTGAAAATTAGGATACTACTAATATTAAAAAATTACATACTATTATTTTAGCGTTGAGTTACCTTTGCCAAAATTGAACAGTAAAATTCATGAAAGTTGTTACAAAATAAATTTAAGAAAAAACTAATAAAACTAATATTACTAAATAAACAAGCTAAATACTATTATTAATAATAAAATTACCTTTCCAGAAACGGACAGCGATATTCCAGAATGTCGTTACACCATTTACAGAACAACGAAAAGTTGGGCTATCCAAGAGGTCCCTTTTTTTGATGGTATGAAGAAATTGCTTGATCTTCCATATTTTCCTGAACACCAACTCAGATGCTACCTAAAGATATAACAGAATATGTATGGAGATACATAATTCCTGCTACGGAATGTATATTAGTGATGATATTTTTAGGAGAAATCTAGACTCTCTGACCGATTATCATCGCATCACTTGGAATAATTTGAAAGGGTCGCTGCAATAACCAGGCCATTTTAACAAATTTTGCTAGCCATACTAGACAGTTTTAATAACTGTAGTTCCAGTAACGTTGCCATATAGGTACTTTTCCACAACGTGGCCTGATAACTGCAGGATCGGCCTATTTTTAAAAGGTAACTAAATAAAAATCTCATTTTCGTAAAAAAGTGGAGCTGCCTGGTTATTGCAGCCACCCCTTCAATTTCATTTATCGTTTTTAAAATAAAACTTAAAAGTCAAAGAAATATTTAATTTTATTATGTCATGATCTTTTTCCAATTTTAATGAAAGTATCGAAATACGATTGTCTTTTTTAACACACTTTGAATAGGTCATGTATAAAGAAAGTAGATGACGCAACCTTACGCTTTGCTTATTTGAGAATAGAATTAAAACTTATTAATGTCCAGTTAACAAAACAAAGCAAGGAGTAATTAAATGATGAACAAAAAAGCAAAAATAACTTAATGTACTTACAGGCACCTCCAATTCCTCATGGATACTCCCGACTTCTATTTCCAGACACTCCTTGGAGTTGTTGGCACTTTTGGATTTGGTTTTTGGTTTGGTTGGCATTATGTTCAGTCTGGCAAAGAAATAACACAATTAGAATAAAAGACAAAGTTACAAAATTATTAAGTTTTGAAATAAAGGATAATATTAAAATAAATAAAAAATAGAGACCTAAAATGCAAATAAATAAGAACTAAATAAATGATTAATTAAAAATTAGAGTAAAAAAGGAGATACAAAACACTTATAAAAAATAAAATATGACAAATAAAGAATCAAAAAAATAAAAAAAAAGTTTTAAAAGTAAGATTATAACCCAAAAAAACTATAGTAGCGATTTTATTTTAGTTCTAGACACTGTTTGATTTGGTTGGCATTATGATGGATTTTATGAAGAATCTATTCAATTTTTGAAAAAATTAAAAAGTAAGGAAAGAAAAATGAACCAAAAACTAAGAACACAACATTTAAAAATTCAACATGGCTAAATTTAACTTGAAACTATATAACGTATGAACTAAATAAAGGATTAATTAAAAATTTGAGAAAAAAAGAAGATACAAAATACTTAAAATAAAATATGACAAACAAAGAGTAAAAAAAATGAAAAAAAAAGTTTTAAAAGTAAGTTAATTGTTAATTATACACAACACAAAAAAACTATAGTAGCGATTCTATTGTAGTTCCAGACACTGTTTGATTTGGTTGGCATTATGATGGATTTTATAAAGAAATTAACTTTTTGAAAAATTAAAGAATAAAAGAAAAAATAACAAAAAACTAAAAACACAGCACTTGAAATCCAACATGGCGAAATTTAACTTGAAACTTACAGTTTCATCTTCTCGGTTGGGTCCGGTGAACGTAAGTAACACGAAATGTTTCTCTCCCGCTTTAAATATATGCTATATCGTTATAAAAATCAAAATCACTAAATACACGCTCTTTAAACAAATATCACACTAAAGATTCTGGCAGTATCACGCGTGCGAGATGTGCGCGCCGTTCACACGAAACTGAACGGATTTTTTTCAGAACGCTCGCTCTTATTCCTCTGTATTTATAGGTGGCTAAAATTAGTGTCGATTATTTTTACCGGGTGTTTCGAAGAAAAAACCGCAGGATCGGAGTGCGAATAATTAATATCGGACAAAAGAAACGGATTCTTAGCATCGCGTGCATTACAAACCAAAATTTCCTTAGTAGTTAACGTTTTTAATATTTATTTGTAGAATAAAATTAATGGACATTTGTTTCAGGTTTTATAGTTAACCTTTTAGGATTGCATTCTAAAATTCATTCGGTTTCAGTTAAATAAATGATGAATGAAAGCACAATTTATTAAATACATTCACCGGCACGAAAAACGGGCACTCTAAAATTTTGATGTATTTAAAGTTTAATATATTTTGTTCTAATGGGCCGATTTTGAAAATTTTTTGAGCAATTTGTAGCTAAATTATTTGACTTTTTAGTATATTTTTCTAAATTAAAAATGAAAATTTCCATCTGTCAATTATACGAGGGAAAACAAAATGTTGATATTTTGGTGAAAGTTTGAAACATCCTGTGGAATATGTTAACACAAAGCAAGGAATTTAAAAATTATTTTATCATCTAGGTACGTCTTTTCTCGATAGTTTGCTTTTTGATTCATCTCAATAGCTTTATTTTTATTGGAGATATTCGCATTTGAATAAGACAGTAACGATTTACAACAATTTTAGCATTGATTTTGGGTCCTAATGTCACTATCATTGAAAATTTATATTCTTATTGTTTATTGACGTTTACTTTTGCGGAGATGGTTTTAAGTACTGGAGTATTGGCTATTGTTGCTTTAATTGATCATGGTAGAGATCAACTTTTGGACTTAAACCATACCTGCTGGAGTAACTGCCCAACAGACAATAATAATACAATTTTTCAATGATAGTGACATTACATAAATCATGACTAATATTTTATCGGTCCGTTTACTAGGACCAAAAGCAAAGGCTTGGTTTTAATGTAAAAAATACAAAAAATATTAGTGTCCTTTTCAAAAACAAATATCTCCAAAAAAATTAAGATAATGAGATGAATCAAAAAAAAACTATCAAGACAAAGTACATCTAGATGTTAAAATTATTTTTAAATTCCTTGCTTTGTTAACATACTCCACAGGGTGTTTCAAAGTTTCACCAAAATATCAATATTTTGTTTTCTTTCGTATAATTGACATACAGGCGCGTGGCGAATGCCCCCGCGGACTAAAAAACCGATTGGAGGCCCACGCCCCTCATCCCTCAAAAACAATTATCAAACAAACCGAAAACTGAAATTACATTTAGGCACACAATCCTTGTGTGCACACAATCCTTGGCTGATATAAAACATTATGTTAAAATAGAAAATCTTTTGAAAGTGTATATGAGCTATCAATTTCATTTGCGAAATCTTGGAATATTGAACCTCAGTTAAAAAACAAAAGAGTTCGTAGAGTCAAAACTTTTTTTGATGAAATAGCAGCTGATGAGCCCATAGAAAATCCTAAAAGTCGTTTAAAGTTTTTTTATTACTCATGCGGGGAAAGTATAGTATCTTTTCGCATTCTTTTGGAGTCGAAAAGACGCTAATTGCCCACTTCACAATTACCACACTAGTTTTGAGCAAATTTAATGTCGAAGTGAGGTTGACATCTGAAACGTGTTTGGATATAATAATAACTCAGTTTAGAATCAGGTTTGACGCATTTCAAAATATTTATTCAAAATTTGAAATTTTAAACCCACAAACATTGTTAAAATCCCAGGTATCTGATATCTTAGCTAATGCATGCATGTATTAGTAGACAAATATCCTAACTTTTGAAAATAATTTACTTTATATAAAAAACAAAAATTTTCACACTATCAGAGAGTTTTCTAATTTTATTTTTGAAAAAATACAATGACTGATTAGCAGTATACCTGATATTTTCAGTTGTTTCTGGTTTTCCCTGTAACATCCGGTGAACCAGAAAGAACTTTTTCTAAGCTGAAAATAATAAAAAGTTTTGCAAGGTCTACTATGTCCCAAAATCGCCTAAGCTCACTGGCCATAATATCAGTTGAGAATGATCGAGCAAAAGAGGTAGATTTGGACAGCCTCGTAAACAAGTTCTTTTTGTTAAGGTCGAGGAAAAAGGAATAGACTTTCTAATATACCATAGGGGTACTTCATAAATATTTAAAATGTCTTGTTCATATTTGTGTTTTAGTTATTAGCAGTCCTAAATGTTGAGTTGTTTTTTTTTAATAAAACTTTGATTAATTAGAAGCATAAATGTTTGTTTTCTAGTTTAAGTATTTTAAGAGTACTATAATAATACATACATAAATGTTGAAACAATTATTAAAATATAAAAAACATCACATTGTGGTTCTTGTTAAAAAATATGTTTCAAGCAGATATCACAACAATGATATATTTGAAGGAATTTTTGAGTACACTTAAGGGGGCCCCCTAACAAAGTTTGCAGAGGGGGGGGGGGCAGCGAGAATTTGCCACGCTACTGTTGACATATGGCAATTTTCATTTTTAATTTAGAAAGAAACACTAGAAAGTCAAATAATTTAGCTACAGATTGCTTAAAAAATCATCAAAATTGGTCCACTAGAACACAATGTATAAAATTTTAAAATACATGAAAATTTTAAGGTTCCCGTTTTTCCTACCGGTGAGTGTAATAATTTTAAAATGGACTTTAACTCTCCATTTAAAATGATTATTTTATGATTGAATTTTTATATTAATATTGATTTCTATGTATTTATAAATTATATTTTTTAAGGTCCTTTCAGAACAATAATTATTGTACACTTTTTGGATAAAAACTTCTTCATCGGTCTACAAGCAGTATACACAAACAAGTCCGATTTTGTTAATTTTTGGCTCAATTTTCATCATCAGCATCATCATCATTTTCAGCTTATTCAACCATTTCCAATTATGGTGTAGCCTCCCTCACACATTTAAATACTCTCTTTGTAGTTGAGCCCATTGTTGTCTATTGTTGGCTATGCGGGCGCAAGTTATCCCTGCTAATCTCATAATATCATGGTCCCATCTCAGGTTTGGTCTTCCTGTAGGTCTCTTAATTCCTCGTGGGTACCATGCTGTAATTTTTGTGGTACATCTGTTGTCCGTCCTTCTTGCCAGGTATCCTGCCCATTGCCACTTAAGAGACTTGATTCCATAGATGTAACCTTTTACCTGGGTCTTTTGTCGTATCCACCCTATTCTTTTACGGTCTCTCTTGGTTATTCCCAGCATATTTTTTTTATTATTATTCTATTGCATAGTTTTATTGAGCGTTGTGCGACCTGCAGTTTTCTTATGGTGTCCGTCGACGAATTTACTAACAATATATCTTCTAAGAATTATGTTTTATTCTTCCTCTAGGAGATTTGAGACCTTGTCGTTGGTGTGGAAGCTTCTAGTCAGGTACTAGGGGGAATCTCCTCTAACAATTTTGCTGGGTCTAAGGAGCTTCTCACTGTCTTGTCCCTGGCTGTAGTTTCGTAACCAGGGAATTACACCAAAGAGGTATAACGATGCCGGATGGGTTGGCTACCCTGTCTAGTTTATTTAGAAAAAGAAGAATCTATCGTCCCATTTATTATCGAATTGACATACTCCAAAAAAATGCCAAAAATATTGAAAAATATATGAAACTAATAATAAACATGACCGAAATTTAGTTCTACTGTGCAAATTTTATCAAACAATTTCCATTAAGGATTTAACCTCTGCCTTTTATCAGCTTTAGACACAAAAATTCGAAATCCAAAGCAAACACAGTTTAAAGAAGTATTACGAGTATTACGAGTATTACAACTTTAATCGACAAAGACCTTTGAGTGCGTCAGTTGTTTGGCTTAGATAAATGGTTAAATAATATCACAAAAGAAGACGCCTTATAGTCTCAGCTGGAATTATTGGCCGGTACTTGATAAGGACATGAGAAATTGATAATAAAGTGAATTTAAGCTGTGGGAATAAATTTGTGTAAAACCTAATAGGTATCTACTATTTGAAATTTTTAATATT